AGGCGGACGCGGCGTGGTGCTGGACCAGCCGCTGTGATCCGGCATCCTCCACCCAGTTGGGAGACGTGCTCACTCGCTCGCTCACTCACTCACTCGTTCACTCGCTCGCTCGCTCATTGGCTCACTCACTCGCTAACTCATTCGCTCGCTCACTCACTCGCTCGCTCACCCCTCTCTCCACCTCGGCTCTCCCTTCACTCTCCCTTCGCTCTCCTCCTCTCTCTCCTCCCTCTCCCCACTCACCGTGGGCCCGTTTTATTTACTTATTTACGTGACCACAGAGCGTGGCACACTGCTGCCCGCGTCACGTGCTCAACAACCGCACTCGACGTCGTGACATCAATGCCACCACCACCACCACCAGAGGCAAAGGAAGCCCGGCTAGCCTGGACCGACTTTTTAGGGGCAAGTGCTGTTAGTGAGTCACACCCACGAAGGCCGGAACGGCACACGAGGGGGGGGGGGGGGGGGCGGCGGCGGCGGGGCGGGGGGGGGGGGGGGATGGGTCAGCACCACGCCCGGCCACCTTTGTCTCCCCGGCGGTGATGTTTACCCACCGCACCAAGGTGCTCACATGAGGCTGAGCTGACCTAGGGTATGAGGCCCAGGACCGGTTCACAAAATCGTCACTGCTCTTGGTGGCCGTGGGCGGGAATCGAACCCGGGGCTGCCCGGTTCGTAGTGCGGCGCGCTGACGCCACTCTACACGCCACCGCTCCCTCAATTCAACAACAAAGACAAAGTTCCCCCATGCAGCCTTAACCGACTGTTGGGGCAAGTGCTGCGAGCGAGCAGCGGCATCTGTGAAGTGGCCAGCACCACGGCCCGGCCGACTTTTTTCTCCCTGCTCACCACCAATAGCAATACCCGCGCCTGTGCCAGGCTAGGTGCGCTTTGAGGCCGCGTGAAGTGTCGAAGGCTCGCAGCATACCAGGCGAGGTTGTTAACATCTCCTAGCCACCGTGATGATGATGATGATGAGAGAGAGACGCAAACTCCAAATATACAGCAGCAGGCGTCAGGGTCGGGATCGTACCCACGACCTCCTGTATACCAGGCGAGGTTGTTAACATCTCCTAGCCACCGTGATGATGATGATGATGAGAGAGAGACGCAAACTCCAAATATACAGCAGCAGGGGTCGGGGTCGAACCCACGAACTCCTGTATACCAGGCGAGGTTGTTAACATCTCCTGGCCACCGTGATGATGATGATGAGAGAGAGAGACACACACAAACTCCAAATATACAGCAGCAGGCGTCAGGGTCGGGATCGTACCCACGACCTCCTGTATACCAGGCGAGGTAGTTAACATCTCCTGGCCACCGTGATGATGATGATGATGAGAGAGAGACACACAAACTCCAAATATACAGCAGCAGGCGTCAGGGTCGGGATCGTACCCACGACCTCCTCTATACCAGGCGAGGTAGTTAACATCTCCTGGCCACCGTGATGATGATGATGATGACGAGAGAGACACACAAACTCCAAATATACAGCAGCAGGCGTCAGGGTCGGGATCGAACCCACGACCTCCTGCATACCAGGCAAGGTAGTTAACATCTCCTGGCCACCGTGAAGTTCCTCCAACACAACCACCACCACCATCAACAACGATACCATCGACATCGCTACCAACAATAACCATCACTGACAACACCAACAACGTCACGACCACCATTCATGAAGACAATTCAATAGAAACTCGGCACGTTCCTCAGCAACGCTGTGGCCTTGACAGGCAGCACGTTCGTAAAGTAACGTTTCGGGCGATGGCCCACCGTCATGGCACGTGCACCGCAGTGCCAGTACAACCCCCGGACGACGAATCCATACACGCAGAGACCCATCAGAGACGGGCAGAGACTCATGGAGATTGCTGTGCACAGTAGACCCACAACGACGCGGTGCATTAAAGACCAGCGAAAGTTGTCCAATTGTGGCCATCCAACACAAGACTCTGGACCACGTGGGGAACTCATAGAAACCCACGGAGATACACAGAGACTCGTCGAGATAAATAGAGGGTCATAGAGACCCATAGAGACATGGGGAAGTGCATTAAATACACTACGGACGGCAGAGTGAACCCATAGTTTCAGTTTCATTTATGTTGGTATTGCCCCGTGAGCCATTCGGCTCTTGAATCGGGTGCAACCGCAACAAACAAAAAAAACATGAACAAGATAAATAACTTAAAGTGACTTTACGTGACTTTGTGCAAACAGCAAATCCAGGAAAAAACAGCAAAATCTTCCAGAAAAAGCACCGTACACCAACGCTGTGTGCAAAAATCCCAGTGGGAAGCAAGTCAACAACAACAACAACAACCACAAGAAAACTTAGTTTAAAAGTCATCAGTCTAACTCCGTACTACAACAAACAAACATGGCCAAACCAAGAGACACACATAGACTCATAGAGACACCAATAGAGACACACAGAGACTAATAGAGACACCAATAGAGACACACAGAGACTCATAGAGACACCAATAGAGACACACAGAGACTCATAGAGACGCCAATAGAGACACACAGAGACTCATAGAGACGCCAATAGAGACACACAGAGACTCATAGAGACACCAATAGAGACACACAGAGACTCATAGAAACACCAATAGAGACACACAGAGACTAATAGAGACACCAATAGAGACACACAGAGACTCATAAAGACACCAATAGAGACACACAGAGACTCATAGAGACACCAAGAGAGACACACAGAGACTCATAGAGACACCAATAGAAACACACAGAGACTCATAGAGACACCAATAGAGACACACAGAGACTCATAGAGACACCAATAGAGACACACAGAGACTCATAGAGACGCCAATAGAGACACACAGAGACTCATAGAGACGCCAATAGAGACACACAGAGACTCAGTGATGCCAATAGAGACACACAGAGACTCATAGAGACACCAATAGAGACACACAGAGACTCATAGAGACACCAATAGAGACACACAGAGACGCCAATAGAGACACACAGAGACTCATAGAGACGCCAATAGAGACACACAGAGACTCATAGAGACACCAATAGAGACACACAGAGACTCATAGAGACACCAATAGATGCGTAGAGACCCATAGAGACCGCACAGTGAACCCATAGCGTCACAAAGTGACACACAGAGACTCATAGAGACCCATACAGACGCTGATAGATACGTATAGATCCATAGAGAGACACACAGAGATCCATAGAGACCTGCAAAGTGAACCCACTGTGGTCTGCGCTCCTTCAACGGAGGAGGAACAGCGACACGACACGAACTTTCTCTCTGTCTCTCTCTGTCTCTCTGTCTCTCTCTCTGTCTCTCTCTCTCCCTCTCTCTGTCTCTCTCCGTCTCTCTGTCTCTCTCTCTCTGTCTCTCTCTGTCTCTCTCTGTCTCTCTGTCTCTCTCTCTGTCTCTCTTTGTCTCATCGTGGCAGTAGCAGACCTTGCCATTGGCATCCTGAACAACCACAAATTGCCATCTTGCGCAAAAGCAGAATAACACGCACACTACCACCACTTCCGCCACTACTACCACCACCGCTACCTCCACCACCACTACCACCATCACAACCACCACGATCCCCACCACCACTACCACCACGAAGACCATCAAAACCACCACGACCCCCACTACCAACACCACCACCACGACCCCCACCACAACCATCACGACCACCACGACCCCAACCACCACGACCCCCACCACCACTACCACCATCACGACTCGAATTACCACTACCCCCACCACTACCACCACCATCACGACCACCGTCACCACCACCACCCCCACCACCACCACCCCCACTACCACCACCACCATCACGACCACCACGACCCCAACCACCACTACCACGACCCCCACCACCATCACGACCACCACGACCCCCACCCAGGCTGCTGCTGCCCCCCCCCGTCCCCCTCGAGTCGCCCGGTCACGTGGCTGCCGCGTGTCCCATCCCTCGGCCACAGCCGGTCCGCGTCTCTGTGTGTCTGTCTGTGTGTCTGTCTGTGTGTGTCTGTGTGTGAGTGTGTCTGTGTGTATGTGTGTTTGTGTGTCTGTGTGTGTGTGTCTGTGTGTGTATGTGTGTGTGTCTGTGTGTGTCTGTGTGTGTGTGTCTGTGTGTGTGTGTGCCTGTGTCTCTGTGTGTGTGTGTCTGTGTGTGTGTCTCTGTGTGTGTGTCTGTGTGTGTGTCTGTGTGTGTGTCTGTGTGTGTCTGTGTCTCTCTGTGTGTGTCTGTGTGTCTTTGTGTGTCTGTCTGTGTCTGTGTCTCTCTGTGTGTCTGTGTGTCTGTGTATGAGTGTGTCTGTGTGTGAGTGTGTCTGTGTGTGTGTCTGTGTGTGTCTGTGTGTGTCTGTGTGTATCTGTGTGTGTCTGTCTGTGTGTCTGTCTGTGTGTGTCTGTGTGTCTCTCTGTGTGTATCTGTCTGTGTGTGTCTGTGTCTGTCTTGTGTGTCTGTGTGTGTCTCTCTGTCTGTGTGTGTGTCTGTGTGTCTCTCTGTGTGTGTCTGTGTGTCTCTCTGTGTGTCTGTGTGTATCTGTGTGTGTCTGTGTGTATCTGTGTGTCTCTCTGTGTGTGTCTGTGTGTCTCTCTGTCTGTGTGTCTCTGTGTGTGTCTGTGTGTGTGTATCTGTGTGTGTCTGTGTCTTTCTGTGTCTCTCTGTCTGTCTGTCTCTCTCTCTCTCTCTGTTTCTGTGTGTCTCTCTGTCTATCTCTGTGTGTATATGTGTCTCTGTGTCTATCTCTGTGTGTATGTGTGTCTCTGTCTCTTGTGCATCTGTGTGTGTGTGTCTCTGTGTCGAGCTCAATCTCAGTATCTACCTCGATGTCTATTATTCACTCTCGCTCCTTCTCTATCCCACTCTCTCTCTCTCTCCCTCCATCCCAAGATCTCTGTCTACCTCTGTCTATCCCTGTCTCTCTCTCTCTAGCTCTCTTTCTGCCTCGCCGTGTCCGTCACTCGCGCGGCAAAGAATCACCCCGAGAGGCTTCGCCCAGGAAGCCACGGGATGAGTCCACCCGGAGCTGCTTGGCAAAAGGCCGGCCACCTTACCGGTGAATGGGCTAGCACTGGACCGGTAACAGGGTTAGGACGGGACCGGTAGCAGGGCTAGGGCAGGACTCGCCGCGGAATGAGGAAGGAACCACGCTCTTGCGCCGGAGGAGAGTCGCCGTAGTTCCGCACAGATTAGGAATGAGCGAGGGAGAGAGGGAGAAGTACCGCTTCTGCTACGATCGATAAAACTGCCACCACCCCCCTCCTACTACTACTCTCCCCTCGGCCGCGAGCGAGAAATCAATGCGAGAGAATTATTCCAATTAGAACGGCGTGCTGGTGGAGTGTGTGGAGTGTGATAGAGTGGGAGTGGGAGAGAGAGAGAGAGGGTGTGGAGTGTCAGAGAGACTTTTTTTTACTTTTTAAACGCACCGGAGGCGATTTCGATATGAAACACACAAAGTCACCAGCAACACAAATACACAAAGTCACCAGCAACACAAATACACAAAGTCACCAGCAACACAAACACACAAAGTCACCAGCAACACAAATAAACAAAGTCACCAGCAACACAAACACACAAAGTCACCAGCAACACAAATAAACAAACGCTGTAAATCCACGCGCTGTGGCGCTAAATGCACCGCGCACAACACGAAATAAAAGTCACGTGGTGGTGGTGGTCATCGCGCACGTCACGGTGACGAGCGAGCGCTTCAGAAGGTGAACACGTGGGGGGTGCCGTCCACGCTGGTACAGAGAGGGGCTTGTCCGGCTCCCCAGCGTTAGAAGAAGACGCGCTGCACATCACCGACACGTGGCTGTGTCACGTGGCGTGCTCCAGCCGGAGCCGCGCCTTGAGCAGGAACCTGAACACTGGAAGCAGCTCAGAGCAGCCGTCAGTGTCACCTTGCAGCGTCTTCATCCTCGTTCTGTACACCGCCATCTTCGCCTGAGCACAGGCAAAGTTGGCGAGGTCGTGGCGCTTGTTAGCCAGGTAAGGCACCACCCCGTATACGAAGCTGCTGTTGTAGAAGGGCACCCCCCCCCCCCCAGTTTACTGAAGATGTCCCCCAAAAGGCGGAACATTGGGTTGAGCCGCTGGCAGCGTAAGTACCGGTGGAGCAGATCCTCCCTGGCACCGCAGGAGATGCACCAAGTCTGGTGCCTCCGGCGAGATTTGGCTGAGCCACACGGCCGATGGCAACGTGCAATGTGCCAATCTCCACTGGAGGTTGCCGCAGTATTTGGCTACGGGAGACTTCCTCTTTGGTTCTTTCGGTAAAGTCCCGTAGGTATAAAATAACTTGTACATAACTTGTACGTGAGACTTGTACATGTGTTTCCACTGGGGGGCAGCCACAATGAGGGGGGATAAATTATCTCTCAATTTTGTGTCCGGTAAAGTCGGCCAGGTCCTGGGAATGCAGCGCCTTGACAATGCACGTGTAGAGCTCTTTCTTTGGGGTGCTCTTCAGGGACACGTTCCTGCAGCCTCGGAGCCTCAGCTTCCCGGAGTCGCTGTGGCCAGGGGGCTGCGTGCAGGAGAAGCACAACTCCGGGAAGGGGGAGGAGGGGGGAGAGGGCCGCCACCATCCCCCGGTGCCTCCAGCTTCAGGCGCAGCTCCTTCATGGCATGTAGCACATCCCGCAGCAACTTCTCCCCAGCGAGAATGGAGCGGAGTTCCGCGGTGCTGGCGATCTCAGCTGCGGTCTTCCACTCGGGCTGGTGGGCCTGCACAAGGTGGAAGACTGTCCGCAGCCCTGCTGATGTGAAAAAGGCCGTTGCAGAACGAGGGGCTCGTTCAGAAAATGTCTGAGGTCGTAGTGAGCGTGTTCTGCTCTACTCGAAGCTCCACCATGCATCCAAAAGGATATGGTGATAACCTGGCAGCCTCTGGTAGTCGACCAGGCTCAGGTCCATCAGGAAGAGCTCCTTTCCGTACCGCAGGCACCCCCCTGCATTTATCAGCAGGGTGAGGGCCGGCGACTTCCAGGGTAGCTCCTCCCGGTCGTACAGGGGCCACCTGACCGCCACGAGCCTGAAACTCGTGACCCTGGCGGCGACGTCTACCAGACCCTGGCCGCCCTCGCCCACCGGCAGGCGGAGAACCTCCGGCCTGAGCCGGTGTTTCCCGTGCCAGACAAAGTGCGCGAGTGAGCGGTTGACTCTGGTGAGTAGCCAAGCAGGAGGCTGGAGGGCATTGGGTCTTGTGCCACAGCACGGATGCTGCCAGGTTGTTAGCGACGAGCACTCGGCCCCTGAATGACATCTGCGGAGCGAGGCGTGCCCATGTCAGTAATTTAGCCTCGATTGTGTCAGCCAGCTCGGTCCAGTTGTTCAGAGCGACGTCACGCGGTTTCCCCAGGTGAACCCCCAGGTACTTGACTCTGTCGTCCCGCCAACTGACTCCTCCTGGGAGGAGCACAGAGCGAACGCCGCCTCGCGACCCCAAACACTCAGAGGGGGCCTCGCACTTGGCCCAGTTGACCCTGGAGGAGGAGGCCTTCTCGTACGCTGCAACCGCCTGACAGAGCATGAAGATGTCATGCGCATCGTTTTTAGCACGATGCATATGTCGTCTGCGTATGCTGAAAGCCTGATGACCACATTCTCAGGTCCCGGGACTTTGAGGCCAGACAGATTTTGTCTCAGGTGGCGTAGCAGTGGCTCAATGGACAGGGTGTACAGCAGCGCCGAGCGGGGGCATCCCAGGTCTGACCCTCCCTGTCACAGGGAAAGGGGACGCCGAGCCGCTGGTTTATCTTCGTGAGGCTGGATGTGCCCACGTGTACAGGAGCCTCACGTGTGAGATGAAGGCCGAGCCGAAGCCGAGCGACGTTAGGAGTTTGTCCACGGTACTCGTGGCTCGCCCTGTCAAAGGCCTTCTCCTGATCCAAGAAGAGGAGGCCCAAGTCCACGTTGTGCGCTTCTGCAAGGGAGATTACGTCTCTGACCGTACCGATGTTATCGTATATGCACCGTCCGGGGATGCAATACAACTGTCCCGGCAGGATCAGCTAACCCAGCACTGTCTTGAGATGGTTTTCCAGAAGCTTCGAGAAGATTTTGTAGTCGGCGCACAAGAGGGACACGGGTCGCCAGTTCTAAATGAGGCGCAGGTCCCCCTTATTGGGTAGCAGGGAGACCACCGCTCTCCTACAGCTCTGTGGGGAGTTCCCCCTTCTGCAGGCTCTCCGTCAACATTAGTAGGCGAGGGCCGAGCTCATCCCAAAAGGCTGCATAAAACTCAACCGGCAGGCCGTCAATCCCCGGGGCTTTACCGGCTGCGAGCCCTTTCACAGCGGTGTGGAGCTCCTGCAAGGTGACGGGGCTGTCCAGACGATCCCGCTCGGGGACTCCTAAGGTAGGGCCCCCGTCCAGTAGCTCCCGGACAGCCCCGTCACGTATGGTTTCGGCAGTGAAAAGTTGTGAATAGAAATCCCTGGCGGTCTTGGCGAGCTGCCTCTCAGATGTGGCTGTTTGTCCATCTGGGGTTTGCAGACTTGAAATATTGTTGGTGTTGGCCTTTTATTTTTAAGCGAAAGAAAAACTTAGAGGGAGAGTCCATCTGCGACAGGTTCTGCATCTCTTTGCACACAAAAGCGTGATGTGCCGCCTGCTCGTCCGTGATGGACCTGAAACGCCGCTGCTTCTCCAGTAGCGTCTCACCCTGCTGTGTGTCGTGGGATGAGCTCAGCTCTGCCTCTAGCGCCAGCAGCTCTCGTTCTGCAGTTGGCGCGCCACCTCGTTCTTGGCGGCGGCGTGCTGGCTCATGAACTGCTGACAGAGAGCCCTGACCTGCGCCTTTGTGTTGTCCCACCATAGCTGGTGGGAGTTGAAGCTGCTTTTGGCAGGCAGCCATTGAGCCCAAAAGGCTTTGAAGGTTTCTCTGAAGTCGGTGTCATCAAGCAGCTGCACGTTGAGCCTCCAGTAGGTGCTGCGCTACTCCGCTCTGGGAAGTCGCAGCAGCACGGAGACCGGGCGGTGATCGGAGGGAACGATTTTACTGTCCCCAAGCAGGTTAACGCCGCTGGTGTTGACGTACAGTCAGTCGAGCCTGGCAAGGCCTATCCTGCCTTAAGAGCAGCAGCGGCACCAAGAGTACTGCCGCTGGACCGGATGCTGTAGTCGCCGCATGTCGTGCAGATCCAGTCCCCGCACGAGGTCGGCTAGCGGCCGTGCAGATTCCTCGGTGAGGTTCGGCGGTGTTACGGTCGAGAGCCGGGTCGAGGGTGCAGTTGAAATCTCTCCCAATAACCGTGAGCAGGTCGTCCGCCTCGTCTGTCTCCAGCGCGTCCCGCAGCGTGCCGGAGAAGAAGGGCTTTCTCTCGCAGCTCCTGCTCGGCGCGTACAAGTTAAAGCACCACAGCCTGGTGTCGTTGAACACAAAGTCCACCGAGATCAAATATCCTTTCACGATCTCCTCTAATGACCACTCTCTCAGGAACAAAACGCGGACCGAACACTATCGTCACTCCAGCGAGGTTGTCTTCAGCATGGCTGAAGGAGGCCTGTCTGCCCATAAGGTGCTGACATTGGGCCTGCAGAATGGCTTCAAAGTGCATTTCTTGCAGGAAAGTTAAGTCTGCCTTTTGGTCTTCGAGAAAGCAACAGACGCGGTGCCACCTCTTGTCACTGCGAGCACTGCTGGAGTTCAGACTGACTATCTAGACACCCGAACTCATGGCAGTAGGTGTTGGCAGTGGCTGCGGCAGATCACCTCGGAAGGGAAGAGCTCTTCCTCTTCGCTTTTTGCACCCGACGCTTTCAGTCGGGAGAAATTCCTGTTGACTGAACACGAACTTTTGTGGTTCACGATATATTTCCTGTGCGGCTTTCGAGAAGCACAGCACATCGGGGAAGAAAGCCTCGACATTGACCCCACGCTTCCTGTAGGTAGATTGGAGGAAATGGTGGATCTCGACGGGTGCCTATTCCCGCTCCCCCTTAATTTTGCGAGAAGCTCATCCCGCTCGCGTTGTTGTAGACGTCAGGCTCCGACTGCTCGAGTCTCCGCGCGTGCTCGCGTGAGGCTGAGCGGCCACCGCTTCTGTCGAGCCACGCAGAGCCGGGGCCTCGTTGGGCTCGGGGTGGCTCTCCTCCGCGGGCCCTGCAGCCGTCGCCTCGTCGGGTGAGGAGATGGGCTGACTGACAACCCTCGAGCACCGTGGCACCGTCAGGTGCGGTGGAAGTCCGCAGCCGCCCCTGTCGCTCCGGGGCAGCCGAGGCCGGGTCCGGTGGTCGTGCCTCCGCCTTGTCCGGTGGTTGGGCCTCGTCAGCAACGTTCACCACGTCCCGTGGCTCGGCCTCATCGCAATGCCCTGCTACT